ACAACACAACAAAACGACAACACAACAAAACAACAAAATGACAACACAACAACAAAACAAAACAACAACACAACAAAACAACAACACAACAACACAACAAAACGACAGCACGACAACACAACAAAACAACAAAACCACAGCACAACAAAACAACAACACAACAGCACGACAACACAACAAAACAACAACACAGCACAACAACACAACAAAACGACAACACAACAAAACGACAACACAACAAAACGACAACACAAAAACACAACAAAACGACAACACAACAAAACAACAACACAGCACAACAGCACAACAAAACGACAACACAACAAAACGACAAAACGACAACACAACAAAACGACAACACAACAAAACGACAACACAACACGACAACAATCAAAGAACCCCACAAACGACAATAATTCAAGTCAACGCAGAACCCCTGAACGAACTGTTTTCATCTGCAGGAAATGTTCGTTTGAATTCATTTGTTTTCCCGACACACGCACAGACTCGTCTTTAATCTACTTTTTGTTTATCAAACTACAGTTTTTGTATTTTTTCAGATTATTTTCCCTCAGGGCGTTGAAGAACTGACCTGCTGACCCCCGCCAGCCCTGAAGGCCGCCAGCTCAGGAGGCACCGGCAGAGGTTTGGCACCGGAGACGGGCTCGGAGATGCCGGGGTGGGGCAAGGTGCCGGCTGCACCGCTCATCTGCTGGGCCAGGAACATGGCCCGGTCCGGCAGTTTGTTTGGCTCGGCACACATCTGCTGCCACACCGGGATCTTCTGGGTTAGAAGCTCCTTACCCTGAGAGGGGGGGGGGGGGGGGTGAATAAGAGGTAAGGAGGATAAAAGCTGTTAAACTGGAGAACATCGTGTTGATCCGACATGAAGCAGCTCTCAGCCGGTGCACCGCTTCCTGTTCCTCTGGTCCATGAGCACGTCCTGATTCTGCACCATCAGTGAACGAACGAGTCCCGAGCGCTTGAGTCAAGTCGGGAGGGGGGGTTAACGTGAGCGAGCTAACGTGGAGGACGTGTTGACCGGAGCTGCAGTGCGTGGGCGGGCTCACCAAATAAAAAGTCCAGAAAAAACAAACTCTTTTAGGATAAAAACAGGTTCAGATGAAAACTGCCACTTGTACAAAACAGAGCCCACTCATGAGCAGATCGTTGTCCCAAACCAACTTCTCCTCAAATGATCATTTAGGCGTTGGGGCTCATTCAAAGTCTGCGACTGAAGAGTTGATGCAGGTTTTTCTTTGGTTCATGAAAACCTGCAGGTTGCCACCTATAAACACAGAGTTCTGTCTTGGTTCTGAAAACTTCTCCTCAGAGCGCGGTGCCTCCGGTGAAGAGGATGAGTCACGGCGACCCCGGTCAGCCTGTCAGAGAGAGCGTAGGTGGCAGCGCCGGCACCGGTGTGATGAGGGCCCACCAGCACAGACGCCGGCTCGCCAGACACACAAACTGACTTCGTGAAGAGGAAACCAGCGCTGTCTGCTCACCCCCAGCTCCGCGGCGCTTCTTCAACGCTACTCAAGCTGAAACAGCTACTGTACAAGTCGCGCCGCCGGAGAAGTCGCATCTATTTTGTGTCACCGCTGATAACCCGGACATGTGAGCCGGTGTCGTGTCAGAAAATCCATGGGCTGCCAAATGGTGGCCGTGGAAGCGTGTACGGGAGGACTTTAACAAGAATTGAACAAGATTAACACTTAAAAACAATTGTTTGTTTGTTCGACATTATAGTAAAGGTGTCTCAGATGAACTTGTCCTTAATAAATGCACTTTGACGGTCAAATCAGGTGAAATGCAGCTGATCTGACGTTTATTCCAGGAGTTCAGGAGCGAGACAAAGGTGGTCAGTATGGCAAGCCAAGTGTCTCATTAATAGCCACTTTTACCTATTAATGAGACACTTGGCTTGCCATATTAGTCGAGGGCCCTCTAGTGGCTGAAAATGGTAGTGTTCAATATTTTCCATGTCAAAATGAATGAAATCGTCAGATCTCAGACAAACATTGTTATGAATATGGAAAGAACATAAATATGTCGCTTCACTGTAGAAGTTGCAGGCACGTTAATTTATGCAAAAAACTGCGACTTGTATAACGACACTGACGGAACACCAAAACCCGTCAGCACAAACTTCTCAGTGCGACTCTCTGGGCTTCCACAGCAGAAACCAGAAGCTTCTGTTCATCTGAGCTCCCAGCTTCGTTTGTCCTGGAGCTTTCTGCAGCTGCAGCCTCTCTCTTCATGACAGTCCCAGAACCTTAACGTTCTGGGACTGTCATGAGACAACGTAAATAAAACACGACAGGAACGCCAAAGTTCAGGCTCAGTTTCCTACAAAGAACCCTGCACCTTGTGTGTAGATGGTCAGGACGTTTGGACCCGACTGAAGACGGCCTCCTCGGCCCAAACACGGCTCTGACTCCGCTCATTTACAGGCACTCGTTTGAAGCTTGGCGTGGTGGTAGCTGAGAGTCACCCTCAGCACACACTCAGAGGGAATGGACCCAACAGGACGTCTGAAACGTGACGGACGGGGGCGGAAGTTACTTTTATTCAACTCACTTTTAAAGTCATAAGAAAACAAAACTGAAAAGACTTTTTATTGTTTTTATGGAATATTAAAGAAGCAGCACGTAACGTTTAACGAGTCCAGCTGCTCCGTCTCTGACGTGTAGTCATCACATCAGCACTTTGTGTTCTGAGCTTCCGCCTGTCCGTCAATCACCCGCTCAGACACTTCACACCCACACGCCGAGCCGGAACCGAGTGTTCCTGCAGAACCGGGTCTTTGTCTCCATCATCCTCCTCCTCATCCTCTGAATGTGAAGGTGGGGTGAGTGAGAGACGAAGGCTTCCGGCTGGCTTTTATGAACGGTTTGGATCTCCTGATCTGCCTCCACGACACATCTGAGGAGCTTCTGATGTTTCCAGGCACATCTTTGTTAAAGATTAAAGCCACGTTAAACTCCTGCACCTACGTTTTAAATATCTGAATAAAAAGTCTCAACTTATCTAATCAGCCGTTCTGATAATTGTGTTGTTTGAAGGATATCTGCTGTAAAACGGCCTCGTGTTCAAGGCGTTCCTCAGGAAGACGGAGATGTTTCGGTGCTCAAAAGTCACATTTTTGTTTAGTTTCAGCTCCGCCTCGGTCTTTTTCAGGGAAACGTCTCCTCACCGGCTGCAGTCTGGTGGTCAATGCTAAAATAATACATGACCTCAAACGATATTTATGGACCAGAAGGATGAAGGTTCTGATGAAGCCCAACAGCTCCCAGATTGATACGATCACATTACATGCCTGAATGTCTTTAGTTCATCCTTTAGTTCATGTTAGTTAGGATGTTAGTTCATCCTT